TATATATATATGTTTGTGTAAATATCTGTACATGAAAATTTAGAACAGTTTTATTTAAAATTGTCAAAACTTAGACACATTTGGCCCTCCTTGTCATGCAACAGATTAAAGCACAGTGCTATGGGGCTGTCCACAGACACTGCAGCAAGAATGCTATCACCTGCCAGGAAGGTGACCCACATGGCGCGGCAGACCTCTCCTGACCCTCCCGCAGCTCCCCTTAGCAGTGTATTATTGTGGATCTTCCTGTTCTGCTACAACTCTGTCACTGGTGAAATCTTTCACACCCTGCTCCCCATACCTCTTGCCTGTACCCCAGTTCTTGTATGCATAAAGAAATAAATCTTAAAAAAAAAAAAAACTTCGACACAATCAAGGTGGCCTTCAATAAGTGAATAAATTGTCATATATCTACACAACAGAATACTAATCAGTAATAATAGTTGGGCATGAATAATTAAGGAAGAACCTTAAAAACTATTGCTAATCTGAAGAAGCCAGTCAAAAGAGCTATATATTACATTATTCTAACTATATGATATTCAGAAAATGGCAAAATTATGAAGGAAATACAAAGATCACTGGTTGCTAGGGATTTGGGGAGGAGAGAGGGAATAATCAATTGAATAAAGGAAGTTTGGAGAGTAATGAAACTATGATTTATGATGCAGAAATATTGGCTACAGGTCATTATACAATTGTCCAAACCCATCGAATGTACAACACAGAATAACTCCAATATAAATTATGGACCAGAGATATGTGTCTATAGATACTGTTAATCAATTTTAGCAAATGTACCACAATAATGCATGAGGAATGATAAAGCTTTGTGAGTACAGGGGGTGAGATTGAGAGGATTCATGGAAACTGTATTTGCCACTTAATTCTCCTAAAACTGTTTAAACCTGAAACTGTGCTAAAAATTTAGTGCACTCACTTAAAAAAAAAAAAAGAACATGGTAAAAACAAGCAAAATAAAAATGCAAATATTCTATATAATGCTCACTGCAGCAAAAACAGTATGGAATATTAAGAAAACAATATTTATAGAGTCCCATATACACATTCAAGCAATAATCACACAAATTATTTACTTAATCCTTTGGGCTTCACCGAAGCGAGCAATAAAAGATAGAAAAATCACTCTCCAATCTATCTTTCTATTATATGTGGCATAAATCAGATAAGCAGCAAATTTAAAATATGCTTATTTGTGAAGGCAAATGAAAACACAAAAACAATCACATTCCTTTTTTTTGGTTGTTGTTTTTTTTCATGAATACAAGAGTTTGAGTCTTTTGCCATCAACTATGAATCCTGAAACAGCAGCAACTAATAGTAATGATTATTCCTAAACATGAGTATTTCATTGTTTGGTAATTTATATACTATTGAGGAGCATCTAAATGTAGAAGAATCTTGGCAATGTACTAATGCTTATATTTATATGTCCTTCTGAGAAAAAAATAAAATCTATTTCAATATATTTCTTTGAGTTTATAGTATTCTATTTTATACTACAATGTGAAATAAAATAATGCTTTTAAAAGTTTTAGTGCATTACTTCTAAAGATGTGCAATTCTAATTACTGCTATTCAAGTTAGTATTTTTATTAAACCTATGCCCAAGAAAACATTCTGGCATAAACTTAAATGTACCCTTGCTATTATGAAATTAAATATAAATCTGTGTAAAAGAGTCTATTTAATCTTGCAAACAAAAGTAAACAAAACAAAAATAATCATAAAAAAACCTGAACATTTGGAAACACAATATTTATGTAATTTCTACTCCGAATAAGAGTGTATCTGAATTTTTATAATTCTAAACAAAGATTTTGTTTTTCTAAAAACTAGTTTAGTTTTAGTTTTGCTAAAGTGTTTAACACTTTAGTAACAGAAGACCTTTTAAAAGTTGCATGATTTTTTATATATGTTAATATATCATTTATCCTAGAAAGCAGCACAAATAATTTTTCAAGGATTCAGAGCCTTGCCTAGTTTATATTTGATTTTTAAAAAAAAAAAAAACTAAAACTGAAAACTTCCCAAATGAAAATGCTAGCAACCCAAATCCCAAATTTTTAATTTTCCCTCTGTAAAAAATCATAACAAACCTCACCGCAAAACATCTTAGGTGAAACAAAGATATAAAGGCCTCCTACCTTAGCATAGCATTTTTTCCGTCACTTCGTGTACACCAAACCTGCCGGGTTTGAAAACCTATCTCTATGTCCCAGGGCTTGGAGTGGTGATGGGATTTGTAACTTTGATGTCGAAAGGTGACTCGCTCCTTAGAATCAGAACTAAAATCCACAACAGTTCTTCCACTTAGGTTAATTTCTTTCAGAGGAGGCAGTCTACATTTACTCCATGGTCCAACTTTAAGGCTAAAAGTATATTCCTCTTCCCCAAGAGGGCAGGAAAGGGGCATGTCACAGGTCCGCGACTCAGTCAGATTGGGACACGGGGACCCTCCGTAGAGCGGGGGCGCAATGGCCTTGCGAGTTCTGTGCTGCACTTGCTTCCCACATCCTCTGCTACACTTGGACCACTGTGAGAACTCAGATACCACACAATCCCGGGGGCAAGGAATGAGGCAAGCTTGTTCAGTGGGGGGCTGAGGGGCAAAGTGTTCACAAATTTCCTTTGCAGCCATGGTTCTGTTCAGCTTCTGGATACAGCGCACTGTCCTGTGCTGCAGCCCATGCTGAGCGGTCACGCACTCTGCAGTCCGGGGTTTGGCGTGGTCATGGGCGGCGGGAACAAGCACGCAGCGGTGCCAGTCAGACACCTCCCACTGGAAGAGGTCGCCATGCCAGTCACACACTCGGAAGCAATTTCTTTCCTTTGGAGGCCTGTTGTTCTCATCACAGTTGGACAGGTGACTTGTCCACCCTTCAAAATGGAAACACCACAGTGCCCGAGTCTGGACTCCTCCTGGCCCACAGTCTCCTGTACACCTTCCCCAGGGCCCTAAAGGCAGAAAAAGAGGGTGTCAATGACTCAGATTCTATGCTGCAATGCATTAAAAGAAGAAGAAGAAGAAGGAAGGGCTATTAGCACGTTTTTTTCAGCACAACCTGTGATCTCATGAATTTCAGTGGACAATATAATTGAGTGTTTAAGATGTGAACTCTACATCAGTTAGCCTTAGCTGAAATACCCCTTGCATCTCTTATCAGCAGAATAAACTTGGACAAATTACTTCAACTTACTTCCACCAGTCTTACTTATATGTGGGAGTAGATAATAAAAGCACCAACTTAGAGAGCTGTTCTGAGGATCAATGATATATTGTGGAGCCTAGTAAATAATGCACATTTAATAAATGATTGGTATTATTATAATTATTATGTTGCAAAGCCTATATATCTAACTCAATATTAATAATTTCTGGTTAGGCAGTGTTTCATCTAAAAGAAAAGCCCTAAATCCAGGATTTTAATAAAGTAGGATTTTTCATATTTTCATCCCTTCAGTTCATTCCCTAAGTAGCTCAGAAAAGAAATATGTTTTTAAAAAATAAGCTGACAAAGTATCCTAAATATATTTCATTTTCTAAATGAAGCTCCGTTTTGGTTTTTGCTTGTAGAATGAATTGCATGAGAACAAAATCTGATACAGAGGGGAAAAGCAAGGTAATAAAAGAAGCAGCAGCACTAAATTGCCTATGGAATTTCTGCCCCTAGAATCCTTGAAATATATTCATTTTTATTTCTGATGAGTATTAACCACAGGCAAAACATTCCAACACTAGAGCATACTAATATCATTAAAAAAAAAAAAAAGCTTTTGTGGGAAAGAGTCCAAGAAATGGACAGATGAAAGGATATCCTATTGATACTTCTCCATATCGGTGCATGAAATATATAGACATACCCATTGGTTTCATCTAGAATGCTGATCTTGGATCTTTCCACAAGGAAAAGAAGTAATCACATTTTGTGTCAATGAAAAATAATGTCCTCCTCTCAATTTAAATGTTATATGAACCTGAAAAGTGTTTATTAGCTCTTCCCTATAACCATTGCCCCTATACTAGAATTGCAATTACCATAAAGGCAATTTATACCCTAAGAAGCATAATAATTTAAACTGTGGAAAGAAAGATGATATGGCCTTGCTTTCCCAAAACCTGATAAAATGCCCCAAACACCATTTTAATTACTTCATGAAATATATTTTCACGCACACTCATTATATGTCTAGGAACAGTAAGTGGGTACACAGTCACATGCATTTGCCTCCCTGAAGAAACAGTTCTATGTGTTTGGGACTACATGACACAGCAAACACCTCTCACATAGCAGGAAATGGCAACATGGGTTCTGCTGTACACAGTCATCCTCACTGTTGTGTTCCAAATATGTAAACTTGGTGTTCTAGGCAATACCATGTTAGGCTACAGTGATTCAGATGTTGTGAGTGAGATGAATACAGAAACACCCTTGCCTCCTTCCAGGGCTCACATATTAGAGACTCCTGCTAAAATGGACAGGAGTTTCACTGGGTAAGTCCCTGCACTGACTGCACATGGTGTGCGAACTGCACATGAGAAGTGATACTCTCAGCTCCACTAAATTCACTCAGGTGATTCCTCCCTAGATCATCCACAAGAGTGTACTTCCTGAATTGAGATTTTCATTGTTAATATGAAAGTCACCTGCATGCTCACCATGTCTGTCTGGAGTTGTTTCACTTTAAATATGCTGATGCTTGTCCATAACATCAAACAATACATGCAAATTTTAATTATTAATAAAAATAATCACCTGGTTACTCAATAATCATATTTCAAAAATTACATGATTGTGACAAGCTTTTAAAAACTTCAAAAATATAAAAGCTATTGGATAAAATTAAAGGAAGATTTCTGATAAAACTCAGGTCTTAAAAGAATGACTCAATTATTCTTTCTTTACATAGGTAGCAAATGTATATTTTCCACATAGCATTTTTGTGAGTATTAAAGAAAGTACAGACAGAAGACGTGAGTAAATTTTTAACCAATCTCAAAAAAGTTCACATAAATTTAATTCATCTATAAAGTGACAAACTTTTAAAGCACTTAACTTAATATTAAAATGTCTTATCATTTTCTTACTGACTTTCAACATTGTTAAGGTAGCTTATGTTACTTGAAATTATTAATATTTTGAATCTCATAAATTACTATTCTTTTGTAGGCTGATTACTATTCTTTTCCCTACTGATATAAAACTTGACCAAACAACAAATTTTTTTCTTGGATCAATGGAAGACAAATTTTTTTTTTTTTAAAGATTTATTTATTTGTGCATACAGAATTGGGGTACAGGCCAGACGCTCAGGGACGGTGAGAGGCCTCACCAGAGACAGAGTGGGGAGCAGAACAGGCAGATCGACGAAGTACACTGCTGAGGGGAGCAGCGGGCGGGTCAGGAGAGGTCTGCCACGCCATGTGGTCTCCTCCGGGGCAGGCGGGAATCGAACTCATGCGGAAGTGGCTTCAGATTCTCAGTGCTGTGCTTTAACCCGCTGCGCCACCAGGGAGGGCCCCGGAAGACAAAATTTTTAAGAAATAGTTACTACAATTATTGAAAAGTAGCCATGGGTGTGCTTGGCCTAACTGGTACCTTTGAACTCCTTAATATTCAGGAATTTTTCCCAAGTGCTTATTAAATCAATCACAGTTGATTTTAAATCGGTCATAGGGGGAGCATTTATAACATACTACAATTCAATAGAAATAAGAGCTGTATTTATTTATTTATTTTTACAGAGAGTCTGTTTATAGTGTGCCACTGGTGATTTGTCAAAAATTTTTTTCCTGTGGCTTACAAAAATCCATGGGGTGGGATGAGCATGCTCATATTCTCATTCAGAGACTAAAAAGGTTGAGAGAAGTGACAGAGCACACACAGGGTGCCACAGCTTGCACAAGGTAATTAGAATAGGATCTGGATCTGTGAAACTCCAACCAAGCGCTCATGTCCTGTCACTGAAAAATTTATTTTCCATTGAAAAAAGTCTTTTCCAGGTACATATTGGTAGGTGCAAATCTAAAACAACAAAGCACATCTGTTTCTTGGCTTAGCTATTGCCTCTCCTATTTTCTGGTTAAAATTACTTTGGATATGAGTAGAATAAGTTGTCAAAGTGGTATGTGTATGATTTCCCTCTCCTAAGCCTAGCAGTTTAGAACAGAGGCACACGGATGTTATAAACATTAGCTAGACCATTCAGGAAGGCACAGTCAAGGGAGAATAGTTCTACTCCATGTTCAAACTTTGCAGACAATTCAAAGATATGTAAATAACAAGCAAATGCAAAGTGAATTGTGTATACCTGGAATAAGTGCAAAACAAATTGCAAACAAGACATAAGATGTAACAAGACCTATAAGCCATTGACCTAGAACAATGTGTATTTTTTTTTTAAAGATTTATTTATTTATTCATACAGAACTGGGGTAGAGGCCAGAGATGCGGAGGGTGAGAGGATTCACCAGAGACAGAGCGGAAAGCAGAACAGGCAGATCGACTAAGAACACTGCTGAGGGGAGCAGCGGGCCGGTCAGGAGAGGTCTACCTTGCCATGTGGTCACCTCCAGGGCAAGTGGGGATCGAACTCATGCTGAAGTGGCTTTAGTTTCTCAGTGTAGTGCTTTAACCCGTTGCGCCACCAGGGAAGGCCACAATGTGTATTTTTAAGGCATGAGGAGAAAGTATGTTTCATGATTGATATAGTAATGTCTTTCTGTGAGCTTTAAACACATGAACACATGTGAAATCACATAGCTCTAGGTATTTTACCATTTCACATTTTGCTGAAGTAAAATGTGGCCTGCCATTTAAGAAATGGTACATCCTTTTCCAAGCTCAGAGATAGAATACAATGTTAAAAATTGAATAGTTGCATAAAGATCAAAGAATATCACCTTGAATCTTCCATGCACATGAAACATATGACTATATTCAGAATATATCTGAGATAAATAATCTTAAGAAATACAAAAGAACCTATGGTTTCAAACATCAATCATTTTTCTTAATTAAAAAGAGAAATCAACAACAAAGCAAAGTTCAGTAGAATTAAAATTTTAATTACTGACATAATGTGACCAATATTACATAAAACAGTAAACCACCTGCAATTTCCTTCTGGTGATATAGTTACTCTGGAATAAACTGGTAAGCCTTTTTAATTACATCAGCTTAAATTAGCACATTAAGAATTTGTTTTAAAAATTAAATTCTTTGGATTTCAAAGGGTAGCACTGATAAATTCTAAGATCACAATCAAACTTAAGACTGAGTCCTCTTTTTTGCATGCCTATGTTTCTGCAGAAACGGGCAAATATGTGAACACTCTAATGTAATATACCTCTAGAAGCAGAAAAGTACTGTCAAATTTATTTTCTTAATTAAGTTACCTTTAACTGGATTAGTTTAGATGAATGCATCACCCACTCAAAATCATCACACTAAAGACAGCCTGCAGAGTGTTTGAATTTTAGGTGTGATATTCACTAAGATACCATCAACAAAGAAAAATGGGGACTCTAGAGGTGGTACAGGAGCCATTACACTTACACTAGAACAACACTTACCAGTGTTTGAGATGGTAATCCTGATTTAATATTCCTCATACAATAGAAAGAGGTGTTTATTTTATTATTCATTGTTGCTATCATTGTTTTTATTTTTCTGACATTGTTTATTTTTAACTTAGGCAGGGTGATTGAGAAATGAAATGCATGACAATGTGGACCTTTTTCATTTGTAGATCACTGTTTGTGAATCATTACTGTAACAAAGCACTCATAAACCTCAGAATTACCAAGTGTAATGTAAAACAACCTGACTTAACCTACAAAATGCCTCATCCTCAAAAATAGCTTGAAGTTTAATTAGTGAGTTCATTTCTCAAAAAGTTTTCACATACTGATCATGGAATAATTAAAGCAGTACTTCTACAAAGTGGTCAATTAT